CCCAAAATATATGAGAAAGTGATTGTTTAATCTAAAATTTGAGCTCGAGGGCTCAACGTCGAGGACCGGAGGTTGGTACAAACATGTGTTGATTCTAATGTTTCTTTGAAACACTTTATCAAGAAATATTTTTAATATATATATATATATATATAGCACATATAAAAAATTTTAATTCAAAATTTTTTTTATTATAAAGCTGCTTTCGAAAGCAATAAGAAAGTTGTCACAAATAAAGCATAGTGTTTCTTAAAGCAACATTTTAGTACAAAATTTTTGTACTAAAAATATGATTTAAGAAGTATTAAGAAAGCCGTCTAAAACATAAAAGTTAAATTTATGTTTAGTTCACTTCATGTAAGAAAAACAATAGAATGATTATTTCATTTATAGACTATTAAGAGCAAACGCCTTTATGTTTTTTCCCACCCTCATATATTAAATAATTGAAATTTGCTTAATATCCACATAGAAACTCCCAATTGTATCATATAGATTAAATAAGAGTCTATTCAGATTATCATAGCCTTTATTTTATTTTAAGAAGCAATAAAAAATTGTCCAAAACGAAACCTAATGCTTCATTTGAGACAGCATTTGATGCTTTTTTTCATTGTTTTTAAGAAATTTTTATACTAGAAAATAAATTTAGAAAATAGTAAGAAATCTGACCCAAATAAAGCATAAGGGTTTATTTTGAATAGCTTTTTGATGCTTTGCTTTTTAGACAACAATAATAATTTTATATGACTGTGATATTTTTGTTGCATTCTTACTATTTTTTTAAAAAATAATAGTTGAAAGCTATTTTTTGGAATCATAATAGTAAAATTATTTTCTTCACAGTAACTTCACAACCAACTTGATAAAACACTGCAGTCGTCCCAAATAAAACATAGAGAAAACTGTCCTAAATAAACCCTAAGGCTATTCTTGGAGGAGTTAAGAAAATATATTATTTAACTGTCCTTCATCACATAAAAAAAATATTTAATTGAATATAAAAGTCTAATGTGAGGTGCATGAAATTATTTGAAAATTCGATTATCCTAAGAGAATTTTCTTATTACAAAAAAAGTTGTATAAATGCTAAATTCTTTTTTTTTTTGTTGTGGTGGTGGTAGCAATGGAAAGGGCTTAGGTTGGTTGAATTTGATGTTGTAATCAATAATTTTGTTCTTTCTAATAAATAAAAATAATAATAACGACAAAATTCACTATTATGACTGAGGATGAAGCTTAGAGCCACAGAGCGTAATCAAAGTCAAGTTAGTCTATGTAGTAGCTCATGTTCGGCTTATTTAGGCTAATTAAGGCAAATCCAAACTCACATTACATGCGCAAGACTCGAACTTAAAACCTCTTAATTGGTAGTCAAAGCTCCCAACTAAAAGACCAAAATGAGCTGCATTATGCGCAACTTATAATATATCTAATAAATTCTGTTCAATAAGTGAAAAACTAAAATGTTAACTGATTTTCGCTTAGTATATCGACAAAAATAAACTCACTTGTTTTAAAATAAAATATAATTTGTTTATAAATAGTAAAGAGTATTAAATTCAAAAATCTATAAAAAAAAACTCTTAAAATTAATAGGTATATATATGCAATAAGTTTCTTTGAAAATCATTAAAAAACTATATATCCTTATAAAAAAAAAAAAAAACCTTCCATCACACCATAGAATATCTACCACATAGAGAATGTGCATATTTTTTTGAAAATCATTTTTAAAAAATGAATTTCTTTTGTTCTCTTTATATATTCAACATCTAAATCTTTTTATTTACTCATATAATAACTAAAATTTTAAATTAAAAAAATAAATAATAAATAAATGTTTAATTTATATTAAAAATATTATTTTATTCACCCTTTCTACCATTAACTTCTATTATAGTCTATGTCCCTCAATAATAATACGTAAAGACTTGAACTCAAGACCTCTTAGTTGGAAGCATAAGCTCTCAACCAGCAGTCAAGGTGAGCGGTGTAAAAATTTGAATATAAGTGGCAGCATAAATAGCAAGATTTGCATATTAAATATTTAACATTTGTACTGAAATTTTTGCATTAGAACCTACTCCTCAATGATTAGGCTGCCAAGAGGTCATCCAAATGTTTCTACTCTTACAATGGCTATTTATTTATCTTCCCAATAGAGCAGGTTAGATTCCCTTATTAGCTCCTTTAGCTATATTCCATTGCTTTGATTGGGAAAGCTAAACTAACACAAGACTTTAATAGTTCTCTTTTCAACCATGCATGGCCAGGAATGCTTGCCAAATGAGAGATTATCAAGTGCGGTGTTTGGTTATAAAGAACCGTTAAATTTTGTGGCTGTAAAGAGTAAAAATGCAGTTCAATGATAAATAATAACTGCGCTTTGATTGTTAATAGTCACAAAATCGAATAATTTTTTTATGTTCGAACACCGCATGTAATAATCTCTGTTTGAGAAGAAGTAAAAAGAGAAAGTGAAGACTCGTCAAGCTTGTGGTCCGAGTTTCTATGATGGTTTCCAGCTTTAAAGGCATTGAAAAATCCAAAGTTATGCAGAGCATCTTCTTCATTTTAACAGTAGTTTTCTATAATTTATGTCCACATCAACCTTTTGTCATCCCAAATACTCAATTAGTATTTCAAAATTGTGGCATTAAAAAAATAATAACAAGGTATGGACCTACGCTTGAGTAATAAATCAAATAAGATTTCCTTAATTATAACTGTAATCTTCCTCGAAATTAGCACATAAATTAGAGTTTTTTTTTTTTTTGGAAAATTTTCGCTTCAAGTTCTTTAAAATTAATAAAAATTAGTAAGGATTTCATTAGTCTCAAAAAAATACTAAAATTATGTATGGTTCATGGGATCTAAAAAACACTAGAATGGTGTAAGTGAGCAAAGCTAGCTCGCGAGTTGACTCGAGCTCAACTCGTTTATGGGCTCGCAAGCCGAGTTTATCGAGCTCACGAGTCAAGTTTGAGCTTGATGAGGCACGACTAGTGAGTTGGCTCAAATTGATACATGAATGCGGGACTCAGATCGTCAGATGACGCAAAGGCGGACTCGGACTTTCGGACTCGTGCGAACTGCGAGACTTGGACTACACAGAGGAGGACTTGCTTGGTCGCATAAGGCAAACAACACGGAAGTAGACCCGGACTATTGAGGCTCACGAGCCTGCTCAAGCTCATTTATAATGCTACGAGCTTTAGTTCGAGCCAGCTTTCTAACTGTCGAGCCAGGCTCGATAGTTCCTTTACTCAACTCGACTAGACTCATTTATGCTCCTAGGCTAGTCTAACTAGTTAAGAGATCATATTTATGCAATAATCGTTGAAGGACCTTAGTTGGGTGTTAATGGTTAGACGACCATAGTAAGGAAATAGTAGTCGGATGATCATAGTCAGACAACGATTACCGAGAAGCCATAGTCGGGATACAATTGTTAGACTATCAAAGGGACTCAGTGGTCAAAGGACCATAGCTAATAGTCAAAGAGTGAAGGTCCACTGACAACGGTCAAATAGCGATGGTTTGACAACAGCATTCCCTTGGTGGTGATCCATCAATGTGGTCTCGCAATGATGTCATGATGATGACAATCCATTAGTGGTGCTCTATTGGGGGTGGTCAAACAACAAGGCCGAACAATTGAACTCTCTAATTTCAAGTAAATGCACATGCTCAAACCTTCAATCCTCTTCATTCATGTAAAGAGTTTACTAAGAGGTTTAAGAATGACACGCTTCATAAATGTAGTTTAAATCTCAAACGCTCCATGAGCATACATAGATATGATTGATTATAGATCATTTTTTTTTTCAACAATTGGATGCCTTAATGATATCAAAATTAAGCATTATTAAGTATATTGAATAGATGTAAGGACAATATAGTATCTTTTTACCATCATTATGATTAGCTTTCTCCCAACTATTAAAAGCAACTACCATTTTACTGTACACTTCAAAAAGATTGTGTTAAAGAACATATTGATTTGAGCGGTGAAAAGATAAACATTTCTCTTGCAACATAGATTTATAAATTTCTACCATTGCTATAGCAAAAGATCCTGCAAGAAACCTTGGTGAAATCCTCAAAAATTATTAGGTGCGGAGTGTGCACCGTCCGCACAAGTAATGGGTACCCAGCGGTACCGAGTGCAGGTACCACTAGTTACTCAATGCTTGTGCGGACGGTTCTCCCCGTCCGCACTCCGCACCTAATAATCTCTCTTAACAATTAACCAAATCATAAATGGCCAACCAGACAAGCGGAGAAAAACAGTTTTTTCTTTTTTTTTATAAAATGGCCTACCTTATATTGCCTTAAATCTGTCTTCCCTCTTCCCACTTGGCATTTATTCGACGTGGCATTTTTTCTGGTCCATAGGAGGAAGAATCTACATCATGAAGACAAAACCATCAGCAATAGATTCTTCTTAGGCAGCCGAATTGGTCCAGTACCTTTGATTCACTTGAAATCCTGTCCCCCACTCCATATCTTCTAATCCGAAAGCAACAGAAGTTACAGTACGGAATTATCCAAGCCATGCAAAAGGGGTGTCAATTTCGGGTCACGGGTCGAACCCAAAACTGACCCAGCACTATTTGGATCAACCCAAATCCGACTCATTTTTGCAAACAGTTTGATTTTTTAGACCCAACACAACCAGAATGACCCGACACCGTAAAAAAATTGCTAGTTATGGGTAAAAAAACGGGCCAATATCTTCTTTTCGGGTCAAAACAGTTATTCTCGGGTTTTCAGATTAAACATGTTTTCAAGTCAAAGGGTCAACACGAACCCAACCTGATTTTTGAAACGGGCCGAATTGTTGAACCGAAACCCAACCCGTTTCCGGTCCAGATTGACCCTAACCCAAAATTTTCGGGGCGAGTTTGAGTCGGATTTTTGGGTCATGTGAAATATTGACACCCCTAATGCAACACTTCCTATGCTACTAATCTGCAAGACATGCCTTACTTATGAAGTACAATGAATTTACACTGATACACTCTCTTATTTGTTTAATTTCCTTCACAAGGTTTGTACTGTAAAAAAAATGGTTACATAAACATAATGCTTGTACATTTAAGAACTGGAAAATCGAGCCTGAATAGGACCATAAAATATTCATTGCTATGTACTAAGATATAGGCAAAAGGAATCCATTTGAAAGCAACTTGTAATTGCAGGCAAACCAAACCTATTCATGATGATGCTGCTGCTGCTGCTGATTATGTTGTCGGATGCACCCATTAAATTGCTACTCCTTAAATGTTGCAGCGGTCATAATTGTAAAACCACGAGTATAGCCCAGTTTCTGCAGAGGATCCATCAAATGGTCTTTCTTTCAGAGAACGTGATTCTTCCAGTAATTGATTTAATGTTGCGATTTCTCCCTCATAATTTTTCTTCAGATCAGCAATCTCCTGATAAGCTTTCTCAGACCTCTGCTCCGCAGCTAAAAGTTGTTTCTGGAGAAGGGGAGAAATGATTGAATAAAAAAAGTGCTCCAAATGTATATAATCGTTATCAATGGCAACTTTCCCAGCAACAAACAAATTGCAGCAACAAAACTATTACACATCAGAAATAGTTTACTAACTACAATACAACATACAAAAATTGACAGAAGAAAGAGTGGGATAATTGGCCTCCATGAACAAGGTCACAAGACTCATGAAATGATAGAATAATGCACTGATTCAATGACTTGATTGACTTTAAAAACAAACATGCAAGATAGAAGTAGGAAATTGAGCTCCTCACATCTAAACACGGGACTTCTAATTTTTTCCATGTGATGACAAGTAAATATGCAACCTGAACCGGCACAAAAGGTCTATATTTGATTAAACTAGATGTTCAAATGAGGCAAAAATTAGATTCCATATGATTTGTGCATCATGGGGGCTGAAGCAATCATGAACAATATCAACATTGAGTTTCTCTATTGTTGACCCATGTATTAAGAGACGCACAAAAGAAAAATAAAATCGGCGATTTAAGTGATGTGCGCGCCAGTGCGGTGCGTCACTTGAAGAGTCAAATGACCTATGATCTCCAAATGGATAGCGCAGTTGTGATCGGAGCATCGAATTCATCTAAAAGGGAGCCCCTCGTAATCAAATCGGACAAAACGTTCAAAAGCAACAACCGACACAGAATCGATGTAACGTGACGCTACTCAAACAACATTCGATCACGAAATTGCGTTCGAAATGTCTATAACACCGAAGAATAACTATATGTTTGCACAATTAAGTTCGCGCGAGGAAATCAATGTGTATCCCAAGACGGTGATGCGAGGATTTCGAGGAAAGACGTGCGAATCGAGGCACGAAATCACATCAATCAAAGGTTAGTCGTATCTCTGTTCCTGCTCTGTTCGGATCCCTAAAATCCTGACGTAAATCCTAGTTAGGTATCGACAACTCGCCTCGATTGAATCCTCCGTTTCGTCGTTAAAAAGAGACCAAACGAGCCTCATTCGTTTCTTCTTTGCTTCTCACACGTGAAATCCTTCAGCTATCATTTCCACCTGCTTTGATCCCAGTCAATTGCTTGCTTCGAAACACAAGAGTCTCTAGTCGAACACAAACCCGACACCCTCACAGTCATTCACGCTCTCAATCCAGCCTCCTATTTGGTTTCACTATCTCATGACACCAGTTGAAATCCTCTTCAGTCAATCCCTCACAAACCTCTTCTTCCTCACAAACCAAACTAAACAGCACCTACACACAAATCGACACCAAATCTCCTCACAGTCTGATCCCTATGTCGTAGCTGCCCGTCGAACCCTGCTCCCTCTGAACCGATCGAACCCATCTCACGATCCCCTCCATTGTGTTGTTTGACTTCACGACCTCCCTCCAGTCGAAAAATTGCTTGACACTTCTAGTCGAACACAGCAACCAAGCAGCTTTAGTTTCTTACCTAGCTGTAGATCCAGTCCCTCGATTCCTATACCATTAATCAACCATCAACCCCCATTTCAATCCAACAGTCGACCGAGCAGCTAGATTTCGTGACCAGGACCCTCCATGAGCCCGATGTTGCAATCCAACCGCTAGATTGGACCTTCCACCCGTCGTGCGAGCCCAACTCCACACTCGACAACCTCAACTAGTAGCACCTATTCTTCGATTGCTTCGATACTGAACTCTTTGCCGACCAACCTTCTGAAGCATAACACTTAGCCCCTCCTTCACTACAACCTCCTCTAAGTAACCAATTGACCTTCTTCCCCTAAACCCAATCAGCCCAAGACGAATAAACCAGGGCCATTTCCTTCCACACATCAAACATACAGCAATCCACATAAAGCCCACAATCACAGGAACTTGGAAACTTATCTGAGATGCTTCGCATCAGAAACACCCAAGCTATGGGCTAAATGGCTATCATGGGCCGAGTACTGGTACAACACCTCTTTTCATTCAGCATCTCAGATGACTCTATTTAAGGTGTTGTACGGAAGGGGCCGCCCCACCTGGTGCATTTTGGGAGTAGCAGCACGCCCGTGTCTTCCGTAGAGGAGTATTTGGAGGAGAGGGATAAGACACTGGAGGAGTTAAAAAGACACCTGTTAAGGGCGCAACAGCTTATGAAGAAACAAGCTGATGGGCATCGGAAGGATATTCAGTTTGAAGTAGGCGAGAAGGTTTATTTGAAACTCCATCCATATCGACAGAAAACGGTCGCTAACCGGAGGAATGAGAAGCTTGCTCCACGGTATTTTGGGTCTTATGAAGTGTTGGCGAAAATTGGAGCCGTGGCATATCGTTTGCAGCTACCACCTACAGCGACGATCCATCCTGTTTTCCATGTATTCTAGCTGAGGAGAGCCATTGGGGATTATGCTACCAGTACGGAGTTACCAGGGACATTAACTGAAGAGATGGAGATGATACTAGAACCTTTGGAGCTCATGGAGGTCCGACAGAAAACAAATGGAGCTATGTAAGTCCTGATCAAATGGAAGAACCTCCCAAACAACAGGCCACGTGGGAGCCATACGAGCAGATGAAGCGACAGTTTCCTGACTTCCACCTTGAGGACAAGGTGGTTCTTTGAGAGGGCGGTAATGTTAGAACGGTCCAGCCGGCCCAGCCACTTGGGCTGGTCCGGATGTATTCCCGCAAGAGGAAGCAGGCGGACTCAAAGGAGAGGGAAGGAGTGGGGTCCACTTGAAATTCAAATGTTTTCTTGGTGTCAAAAGGAGGGGTAGTCTGGGTAATTAGGTCCTTTTGTATTTAATTTGAATTGTATGCATTAAGTAGGGAAAAGAGGGGGGATTAGGGTTATGTCATGTTTTTATGAAAGTTTTCTTGTTCTTCTTTGGTAGCAAGGGCTCTAGATCGAATTCTAGAGATTGGGAGAGTGAGATCCTCCTCTCGGATAGAGGATCCTTGTATCTTTGCTAATTTCCTTGCATCTACTAGTAAAATACAAGTTTTCCTACGAATTTCTCTCAGTTTTTTTGCTGTTTTCACTGTTTTTCTGCTCCGGACAGCAGTTTTTCTTGGAGATTTGCTGCAAAAGTGAATAGGAAATACTTGATTTCAAGTATTTCCTATCAAATTTCACACACAAACATAAAATTTTTCATCTTAATAAAACATCCAACAATCTTCTTTTTTATACATAAACGAAAGCTTCTAATAAAGGTCTAACTACATCAAAAAAAAAATTTACTTCAAAGTAAAGAGCCACTAAAGAAATCCATACTAATACATTACTAAAATGTCTACATATTTCAAATATAGACTCACAAACAGAGACAAACATCAACATATAAAATTGAAATACTTGAAACTTAGTATGCATCGACCTTTCATTTTCCTTTTCCTATAATAACTAGTATGAAATAACTGGTAAGCTATGAGGCTCAATAGGTTATGCAAATTTAAATAACACTTAAAATACAATAATTGTAATAAATCACAACACTGAAATCATATTTAAATAAACTTATCTTTACTTATAAAACATTATAAAATCATTGTTAACATGAATCTTCGTTTTCTCTGAAATTTATATTGAATATCAATTTTTGTACGTAAAAGATTTTACTACACTTTTATAATGATATTCAATGGAGCACAGGTAAACCTGACATTATCGCCATTGAATTATATAGAGATAAATTTTATATCTCATCTGCTATGCATGAATCATATTCTTTAGGGTCCATTTTGCCCCACTTACAATGGTCTTACATGGGACCATTTTGCCTCACCTGCAATTGTAAGTTCTACAACATTTTATAGTCAAACTTTATTTTAAGTTGATATTCACTATATTTTATATTAATAATTCATACTTGACTTGTTTTATACAAAATTCCATTAGAATTCGTATTTTACTATAATTAAATACAAGAATGCATTGCCTATATGATTTAATGAGCTCCTTTCAGTTTATTTTCAATTGGAAAAACATTGAAATAATCATCAAAAATCTTATTTTAAACATTGGTTATCCTATATATATATGCAAGTGGTTAATTATACATGAAAACTAGGAAATATTTTCATTATCATTATTGGGATTCCTCATAAAGCATTTATTTTCTCAACCAATTCAAATAACATCATAAAGATATTTGGAATTAATAATTCTTGCATTTGTGAACTAAATTTACACAACTTACCTTCCTAATGATTAGTCTCTTTCAATCTTTCACTTCTTATTATTCTTCGATTATAAGTTGATATTCACTACCAGTCATCGATTTTGAAAGAGCGTAGGTCATCATTTTATGACAACGTCGTACAAAGATGAGTTATCAAGTTGAGGGCTCAGAAATTGCTAGTGTCGAGCATCAATGTCAAGACAGTGTAAGACTTTGATGTTGAGATGATTTTGAAACATCGATGTTGTAACGATGTCATACTTCAATGTTGAGATGACATCGGACATTATTATGAAACCAAAGCCACGATCAGCCAAAAAAAATTATAATGAAAATACTCGATGAATGGGGTATTGAGTGCGGGCGATTGATTTGGTGTTACAAATAGAAAATAGAAAAAAAAATATTTTAAATAAATAAGATTTTTTAGTACAAGAAATCATATTTAAAAAATTCATAAAATATTTAGCATTTAACACATTTTGCTATGTCCAATACGTGTCGAAGGCGTGTCGTATGTTTGTCGTGTCGGATACATGTCGGACAACGCACGCGTCTTTGAGTTAAAGTGTCGGTGCATCGTAACATCATACATATGCATGTTGCATCCAACAAAAATATATTGTGCATTTTACACATTAAGGTGTACATAACACTTTTGCAAGCATGTCAAATGCATCATGTAAAATGCATTAAAAGTATATACCTGTATGGGCCCCGACAAGTATGATGTGTGTACACAAGTGACATCTGAGGATGTTGCACGGGTCAAGAAATGAACTTAAGTTTGAGCCCGAACCTTTTATGTGAATGTATAGGAGTCGGCACGGCTTGAACCTCCAAAAAAATGTATGGTTGTAGCATCGACCAGGATATTTATTTTATACATTCATATTAAGACCTCAAGGTCTAATACAAGAAAAATTCACTAATAAAGTCTTAAAGCCGACGACGTGCCCGATCCTATGTCGGCAAGTAGACAGAGTCGATAAGGTTCGACCAACAAAATGAAATTGCCCATAAATACCTTAATGATGGTTGTGTTGATAGGAAATCTCAACCGGAGAGAACCCCAAATATACAAAAATGCTTCCACCCTCCACTAATAAAGTCTTAAAGCCGACGAGGTGCCCGATCCTATGTCAGCAAGTAGACAGAGTCGATAAGATTCGACCAACAAAATGAAATTGCCCATAAATACCTTAAATGATGGCTGTGTTGATAGAAAATCTCAACCGGAGAGAATCCCAAATATACAAAAATGCTTCCACCCTCCGGCCTCCAAATTCCCATAAAATACATTCAATTGGCATTAACATATTCATGAAGAACATAGATATTTTAAATTGAAATAAATCATCAAACACTTAAAGCAAAAAACTCATCCACCCTCCGGCCTCCGCAACAATTTGCTAAGGTGAATAAATATGAAAATCACTTCAGCTCACAAAGAGCAAATGTTTGATCAATAATATCACTAAGATTCACTCTCAATATGTTTTTTCCAGTAAGGATGTGGCACGCATCCTCTACCTGATGGTCTTGCAGCCAAATGACATCATAGGTAAATGGTGATGACCGGGACCCTCAAATCGCCGCCAAGTTATATCATTAAATTACGATCATGATCAAAGCTCATACGTTACCCAACGATATTAAATCATCGAGCAATGAATCAATAGGATATGATCAACAGAGCATAAAACCCACTATTAGCTAAGGTGGATACAAATTTGTCCTCTTAAATAAATATACACCCAAGTATACAAGGTACCATTTGACGAAGCAACCAATGGCTACCGATAAGGATCCTTCTGTCAGGTGGGTCGACTATCTCTTTTGACTAAGTAGACTAGGGACCATGATGATGGAACCATGAGATCTTGATTAGGTTCATCATCATGCCCCCCACTATCTGCATTAGATACATTGTGGAAAATTTTTAAATATTAAATTTTAAATACCAAAACTCTGTTGCTACTACACACCGAATACTATATATTCGTTGGACGACTAGCCTTAATCGAAAGTTCTCTCTCGCTATTGGGAGGGATAATTAACTATAAGGGTTTGAGCCTATAAGAAATCTAAACTCAGATCATAAAGTCATTGCAAAATGAGGGTAAAATCTCTGGGTAATGTCTTATTCATAACCCAATATGCCTTCTGAAAATTTATCTCGGAACTTAAGCATTAAACTCTCCTCAACGACCCCAAAAAAGAGAAAAGTATCGCTGAGAGGCTAAAGAGCGAATTTTTGAATCCCACATCTACCTTGCTTCTCATAGTTTTCTTGAGCCATTTTTTGCATGAACTCTATTTTGGTAACCAATATATTAAGGGCGCAGAATACATTATTTGTTGTCATCAAGATTGTAGCAATAATTTTTGTAGAATCAATACCTAGGGCAAATTGACACTAAAATGATGTGCAATTTTTGTTGTATGGGTGAGTGATGACTTGGGATACTATGCTATAATCTATATAGTTCCTATAGCCACCAATAATTGTTGTTCCTATGGTTCTACACCGTGGCTTCAATTTCTAAAATGTTAGTATTTACAGCAGCTTTTATTACCAGGCAATACTACTTATCCTGCTTTTATTTTCAACTCTTTTCATGTTCTTATCTTATTTCAAGCCTAGTACAAGTGAGATTCTAGGGTTTTTTTTTTGTTATAAATAACTAGATTTTAAACCTTTTGGCTAAATAAAAAATCTTCTTTTTTGTTCATATGCTTAATTAGATGTTGATTCTTTTGAGTGCAATCCAAAAGCAAGTATCAAATTTTAGTCGTCTCTTTATGCCACCTTGTGACCAAGTTTTTTTTTTCTTTTTGATAAATTCTTATTTTCTTTTGTTCTACGAAGTATAATTTAGTTTTCTGCAAGTATTATTGATTTGTGGTGCAAATAATAATTGAGTTATGGTTTTTTTTAAATTTAATTCTTTTTATGAATTTCTTTTATTTTGGCATTCATGTATTTATCTTTTGGCATAGATTTCTATTATTTTTAATTCATTTTAAAAGACAACGAACTCTTGTTTTAATTGTCTTTAAAAACATGAATTCCTAAATCAAATTCGTGTGTTTCACATATGGATTAAGAACCCTAGACTATGAAATGTGCATCAACTACTACATGATGATGCTAAAGTTTAAAATTACATCCTTAAATTCGATAACAACACGATCTTAGAAAATTGTCAATATAGATTAATAATTTCAAAGATTTTTTTTTAAATTATAATTTGTCTGGTTCTCAAAGAGTTGAATGTGCAAAAAAAAAAAACTAGTGAGACATGCTCAATTTTTTTGTTGAAGTGCTGTTATTAAATATGCATGAAATATGAATGGAGATCAATATAAGGAGCAATATTTTTCACTAGGTAAATATAGGAAGCCATTGTATGAGCAATTGTATGATCAATCATTTTGTAAAGATTGCTAACAAAGCCATTATAGCAGGGGCGGAACCACCTTTGGGTGAGGGGGGGCAATTGCCCCCCCTTAAAAAAAATAATTTTTTTTTATTGCATAGTTTTTTAGATTTTTTAGTCTTTATTACAAGGGTTTTTAGGCAATTGCCTCCCCTAAAAATTTTAAAATACTATGATATTTAGACAATTGCCCCCAAACAAATATTAAAGAGCATTCATCATTTTATTTTTAAATTTTAATTCCAAAAATATCCTTACAACCAAAATTTGTTCCGGGGGCGCTGCCCCCAGAAACCCCCGCAAGGGCGCTGCCCCTTGCACCCGCGACAGTTATTTATAAGTTTGCCCCCCCTAAAAATTAAGGCTGGTTCCGCCCCTGCATTATAGTGTTCAAGCATTATGAAGATTTCCAGGTTTTGTAATATAATATTATTTACAATTAGCGTCTAGATTTTGTTTTTTGCTTTTTTTTTTTCAAAAAGTTCAACTTTCTTTGATTATAAATTTAATGAAAAGCATGAGAAAAGCACATAAGCACCTACCTGTGTTGTAGCGACAGCCTCTTCTGCTTCCTTCAAACGAACAAGTAGTTCTGCTGCAGCCTCTACAGCCTCAGCGGTATCCCTTAACTGAGTCTGGAGACCTTTATTTTCATCCCTCCAATACCTCCTCTCCTTTTCTCTCTCTTCCCTAAGAGCTTCAATTTGAGCAGCAAGAGATTCAATGAATTTATATTCAGCGCCTTTCACACCAGCTTTTGCTGCTGCATTCTTCACGTCACTTATACCCTCCCTCATTTTACGATGCCTCCCAAGCAAAGCCATATGCCTCTCTTCAAACTCAGAATATTGTTCCAAAGTTCGCATATGAACCTCCAATGCTGTTTGAAGTGCCTCCTTAAGCTCCTCTTTGCATTTCTTCTCAGACTCAAGTTCAATTTTCCATTTCTCAGTAAGAGCTCGACTGGATTTAAGTTCTGTTCTAAGCTCTTCAGAGAGAGAAATCCATTTGCTCTCTTTTTCCGTCCAGCAGCGTCTCTCCTGTTCCAAAACTTCATCAGCACTTTCTTCTTTTGATTCGGGGATCATGGTGAGAGGAGTTGACATATGTTCAGTTGAATGGGTTAACTGCAGCAATGGACTTTGGGTGCAAGTTGATGCCAAAGAATAGTCTATGAAATATTGCAACTGGCTTCTTAGGTCTTGTATTTCCTCAATTAGTACATCCCTTTCACCCATATCAAAGAAGTTTCTATATCCATCTAGCTCATTCTGAACCCTTTTTAATTCAATCTTTAGACGTAAAACTTCAGGATGGTTCTCACATTTCTCTTTTAGCATCTGTGAAAGAAAAAGGATCACGTGCTATTTAAAGTAAGTCAAAAAATTGATTGCCTCTTCAAGTTATGTTCATGATGTGGAGAAAGTGACATAGATATGCCAGAAGAATCTTACTTACCATGTGCTCGTTTCTTAGTGAGAGAAATTCCTCCTCCATGAACTCTTCAGTTGGCAAAGCACCATCCATAAGGCCCTCTAGACGACAGATTTTATTCTCTCGGGTCTGTTCAATAATTGACAAGCATTCACGTTCATGTTTGTACTGTTGGACCTGCAATGATAAAGATGTACGATAACCAGTTAATAAGTTTTCAATCTGTAGTTTAAAATTAAGAGTTAGAAAAAACCACCCACCAAACGATTTAGCTGCATAATTTCAGCAGCTTGTTTAGCACAGTGATCTTCAAGAGCCATTTCCCTCCTGATAGCTCCAGCCAAGACCTTCTCCACCGCCTGATGCATAAGGCGCCTCTCAGATTCCATAAAAACTTCCGAGGAAAAAAGTTCGTAGTATGATAGAGAAATAATATATATTTAGAATAGTAAGATCATACTTTAGGCAGAAGCTTCTTGCATCGGTCAACAGATTGGGATTTGCTAGCTGATTGACAATCATCCGCAGGCACTATTTGTAATCCTCCATGCTCGGTGCTATTTTCACATTCTGGTGGAGAAGCTTGGCTCTTGCAGTAACTACATATAAAAGCAGATGAATCTTCTATCACTTCTGATTCCTGAGGAAGTGTTTGTATGCCGATGTCAACCTTGTTCATTGAGTTCAACAGCCTCAGATCAACAGGTTTCAAAGAGAACCTAAATAATGAATTCCTTACAGATGAACTTCGCTGATGGCTATCAATGATTTGAAGACCATGTCGTATACTTGCTGCAAGATCTTCAGTTGTTGACAAGGAATTCCTGCTAGACAGAGCGGGATGAACATTATTATTACTATGTTTTAAGTTATCAGCAAATGAAACATTCAGAACACCTGGATCATGTTCCAAATGTGACGATATGTCTTTCTGAGATGCTGAAATTAATGATGTTCTCAGGCTTTTCCTACTGCAGTTCTCAACTCTACGAGAGGTGTCTGAAATTAAGGATGATGAGCTCAGACTTTTCCTACCGCAGTTCTCAAGTCTAGGAGAGTTGCTCGACATAGGTAATGCAAGAGCCAAAGATGTTTCACATGCTACAATGTCAAGGCTACCAGGTGAAACGTGACTTTTAGAAGTAGAGCTATGTAATTTGTCTAGAAAATTGGCTCCTATAGGATCTCTACCAATAACTGCAGAATGTTCCTCAATAATTTCCGTGCAGATACCATCCAATGATTTTTCTTTGGCAAGAATTTGTACTGGTTCACACTCATCCTGATATGCGTCCTCTTTCATGTCGGGAATGACCGAAACTTCTCTTACAACACTTTCAGCTACTTCTTTGTTTTTTATTCTGCAGTCATCCGCTGTTGCTTGCCCTATTTCATAACCTTCCACACTGCTATGCCTAAACCCACTATTTTGGTCATTTTGAAAATCAGATCCATGTATTTGCATTGGGTTTATATCATTGAGAATAGGATCTGTATCAGAATTATCAGGTTTTAGATCCTTCAAGTCCTTCAAGTGATTTGATTCCTCATTAGCACATGATTTTTTTAAATCAGAGGTTGAATTTGACTCAACACTGGTTATTTCAATACCTTCCTTGATAATTTCCATCTCTTCATCACTGTCATCATCCACAACTGGTAATGTTCTTGGACGACAAAGGCTTAGTCTCAAAAGATTCAAGCTTCGTTGGACATTCCATCCAGTAGAACTTCTGTTATTGCTTTCTGTAGATGTCTCATTTGATTTTATACGAAGAAGTTCATCCTGATGACAAAAAAAATGAAATCCGCCTCCTTTACAACATCATTAATGATGTGGTCATATCAGGCATAAAATCCTAAAAATAATTACCTTCAGTTGGCGTATCTGTTCTCTTAGGACATTAACATCATCCTCCACGGTCTCATTTACTACAGCCTGATTCTTTATTGCCTTTGCTCGCTGTGCAAACCTCAAGGTACTAAAAGTTTCACTCTTGCATCTGAATTCATCAAAATTTCCCATGGTTGAAGATTTCAGACAAAGAAAGAAAAATAACCCAAACCTAATTGATTTGAGCTTACCGTTGTGATGGTGAAACGGCACAGATCATTGCCAGTTTCGCATTACCACCAAGAGATTCCTGCAATAAAAATGTCAGCCTGGAGTCTCTATAGGGGATGTGCCTATGTTTTCCAGACTGAGAAACTTCTGCTAAAATATTAATTAAATTCCTGCAAGATAATCAAGAAGCTGATAAATCAATGACAGAAATTTATGGTACAAAGACAATCAAAGAAAAATAACCAAAAAGGATTTTAACATGTTTTATTTTCAAGGGTCACCTAACTTAAGCATGTACAGAAAACCAAAATAACAGAACGGCCATGTGAATCGAACTAAATTGGCCCCTTAGTAGAAAATAAAGTCAGTGCATCCTGAAAACAAGCATTTGTGCAATGATAATCACTTGAATGCTTACATTCTTAAACAGCAATAAAGGAAGAGAGAGAGAGAGAGAGTAATGATTGGGGTGGTTGATCGGCATTGGGGGGCGATGAACTAGAACCGGGTAAAAACAGAAAATAACAAGCATCAGAAAGCCAGAGACAACTGCCTTGATAAGATAGAAGATGTACCAAAAATGTAATATAAAAGTACGCACCCACGTAGAAACCTTTAGTCTTTTTCGTGTTATCTAACAATGCTGACAACTATTTTGACAATAATTTAAAAACTTTTCAAAGCCCAATTTCAATGATATGAAAACTACTGCTTCATGGTCCATGGAATGAATGTAAAAAAAATGTGTAAGGCTGAATGATTTTATAGAATTTAAGTTAAATGAAATCAAATAATAAATTGTGCTACATCCGAAATTTATCACCAGCAAAATGAAGAGTGTTAAGTTCAGCAAAAAAATACTAAGCCATTTATACAAACAATGTATATCAATGAGATGAAATAATACCCGAGTTGGGAAAGGGAACGATTGATGTTGCCCGCTTCCTTCAAACGTTCACCTGCAGCATGTGTGGCCTTTTGTCTTTCTGATCCCGCTAGATCAACAAGGTTTATTCTACTGGTCCTTAAGCTACTAAGTCCATCTAACATACTCTGGAAGATTCAACAAAAAATATAACAAGGAGATACAAGGCTTCAAAAACAAAACAACAAATTAAAAGGTAACATAATTAAATCTCCCAATATTGAAACGATCATTATCATCATTAGCCTTATCCCACCTACTTTGGATTGGCTTAACAATGAAGCTATTATGTAATTAATACATTCAGCATATGCACAATACTTGAGAATCAATAATGTGATTAGAAAAGAAAAAAAAGATAAAATTCAGTCATAAATATCTAATTTAGACAATTATTCATCACTATTGATAAAAATAAAATAAAAATGCAAAAATTTCTTTCAATTAGATCCTCCTAAATCAACCTCCCCATTTTAGTTTATGGAAATGAGAACTCCTTTTCTTTTTCTAATTTTTAATCTTATTCTTTTTTTCGTACTTGTAGTCCTAGGCTTCTGATTTTTTTGTGAAAGTCCATCCCCCAAGACAAACAATGGATCAATAATTAGGATGGCTAGTATTATGCTTTTTTTTTCAAGAAGAGAGCTCTTTAACTATCAGAACCTTTCGATTTGCCAAGCCTTCACCATCTCTTGTGAAGTTGTAATAATATGCCAATTCTATATTTTTTTCCTCTGTTTACAAGCACAATTTTTCGCTTTCTTCTATAGAATATGGAATAAATATTCCATAAATATGAACTGCTTATAATTACATGATATAAATTCAATGGTACAACTTCATAAACTACCTCATCAATAAAATCACTACAGGAAGCAAACCTAAAAATACATTGTTGATTATCTTGACAAGCAATACTCATTTAAAACCAACTAAAAGAATAGAGTTTAGGATGCACTACCTCCAATATTTAAACCAAAGTAGCAAACAAAGTGTTCTTTCACTACCTAGATTCAAAATGGCTTCAATGATGATAGATCTCTTATGAAGCTTAAGGTTGAATAATTCTTCCCTATAACTTTCTCATTGATATGTGAATGCACATCAAGGGTAATGCAAAATCTGCCTTTACCACTCAAACCTCAACTTCTTTTGAAGTAGTAATGAGGATTTATTTTCTCCTTATATTTCCATTTTAGTCTTTTTTATGGATATAAATTTTAGCAATCCATAAGCTTGTGCTAGTAGCATGGTCATATAAATTTTCTTTCTCCCCTAAAATTGAACTTTCACTCTTCTCATTCTTTATAATTGCTACTAGGGCTCTTTTTTTCCTCCAAAAATCATAGTTGGTACAATGCCCCAGGTTGTTACTATAATACCAAGGTATAGGGATGTCAATATTGTACTCAAGCAATCCTTAAGCTTGTGCCCTAGCTTTTTGCAGCGATGGCAAAATCATATGAACTATATTGCTCCTCTATAATTGAACTTTCAATCTAATTGTTTTTTTACAACTGCCACTAGGGTTTTTTTTTTCCTACAAAAATAACAGTTGCTATAATGCCCCAGGTTGTTCCTATGATATCCACATAGAGATGTCAATAAAAGAGATGTCAACATTAGACTCCGAAAATAAAACAAATACCAAAAATAAAAATTTTAGGTTTGGACCAAAACATGCAAGAGACAAGTTGGGCTTAAGTCACTGAAGTGGCCTGAAAAAAAATCATGTCAATTTCAAGTTGTGATTACTCAAGTTTAGGTCAATCCAAATATAATGAGTCAACCCATTTCATTCTTCTTTTTTACTTTTTTTATTAAAAACAAATTAAATTACAATTTATCATTATTTCTTTGGAGATATCATGTCCATTAAGGGTTGGGTTGATACATCATCAAACAATTTAGGTGTTTATCATATGTCAGGTTGGGTATGAGTTTAGTCAAGTCACGTTCGGATTAAGATTTCAATTTATTTGATAAAAGGATTGAGTTTGTATACAATAAATGCGATTCGAGTCATTTTCAAATCGAACTTAACTAATTAACCTGAATTGACACACTTACCCTAGCAAAAAGGAAGACAGAGAAAATCTTTTAGGAGAGTTAGAGTTACTCTCTATTATGAGATATTACATAATTTTAAGTAAAAAAATAGTGAAAATAAATTTAAATTTGCCATTAACTTATAAACTAACTCCATTAAATAAGAAACATCCTTATCCCTAACTCTGCTACTCAGGAACGTTCTTATCCTTCCTAAACTAACTCCAGAAAAGAAGAGAATTCAAGTTTAAATTAAAATAAAACTTATCCAAAATTAGTTCAATATCAAAAAGTCAATCTTATGGTTGTCCTTAATGCCATCTAAGTATCCAAACTTCTTGATTTTCAACCTTGATCATCAAGCATACTAATGACGATCTACCTTTACCTATCAACACATGAAGAGTGGAGACTTGATTTTCCCTCCAACATATGATTGGAAAATACTATCTATAAGATTTTCCTAGTTCACAAAGTCAAGTCAAATTTAAAAATTAGACTATTTTGTACATGTCTCAGACCCCCTATTTATAATCATGAATCCCTTTAATATTTCATAAAAACAAAAGATAAGGCTCAATCAGTTATAAATTTGTAATTGTTGACTCTTATAATCCAAGATTGCTTTTATTTGAATGATATCATATCCCACAAAACTCGATCAACATTCATATTAAATCATTTGAACCATCAAGCCACAAAAAAAGAATTTTATACATAACAAAATCCAATATTCTTGCATCGCACCACAAATTAATTTTGTTTTGTCCAATATTCTTTCACAATATAATTAACGATTGGATTAGTATAAGTCAATAATATCAGTAGAAATAAGTGCTCCAAACTCCTAAAGACGTGGCCTAAGAAAAACTCCAACGTAGTCCTCTGAACTACGGCCAACAAATAATATTCTAACTTCCAAGGTGATAGCAAACAACCATCTCGACTCTAAGACAACAAACAACTTCAAAAATATTAACCTTAAAAAGACAATTGCAGCATCCCAAAGTACACAATTTCTCAAAGGAACATCATAGGCATGCATTAAATTATAGAAAACACCATAAATAAGTAGATAAAACTATATTACTACTAAATAAAACACTCAATTACTAAAATAAAACGTTTTAAGTTTATTCATCTCAATGAATGCATCTTACATTTTCAATGACAATAAACTTTGTGATTAGCATCACATGTGCATAAAATTTCAATCCAAAGTGAAAAGAAGGCATTCTATCCAGACGAGTATACAACCTTTTTTACTCAATTTCAAAACCCCAAGAACTCTATCAAGTAAGCTAAATGTAATGAATAATATAGCTTCCACTATTTCAATAATCAGAAGAAATTATTTTGAAGACAATAATTCAATTCCCGACTTCTTCCCAAAATGGATCCCACGGCCAAACATCAACCACTGATGCAAATAATCGAGTAATAATTGAATTTCAATAAATTTAAAAAAAAAAAAAAAAACTTGTCTTGCTAAAATAAGAACAGCAAAAACCAAAAAAGAGTGGAAGACCACCTTTGACCAACACTTAACAACACAGGTGAAAACACAATGTGATCGTGAGCTTTCTGCATTTATGCTTGTGGCCCCAATCCTTCTGTTTGACAAACCCTGCAAGAGTAAAGCAAATAAATTAGTTTTCTATTTTAATATAAAGTATATATCTGAAATTTACTTGATAAGTATAATACATGCTTGCATGATCTTTTTCTTTTATTAACTAGCGAATCTATCATGAATTCCTCCTTTTAGATCTGATAAGGAGTTCCTTTTTTTCCATTTTTTAAAAGAGAACCTAAAGTACGTTAGAATTATACAATCCAATTATCAAACCTGCATTTATGCTTGTGGCCCCAATCCTTCTGTTTGACAAACCCTGCAAGAGTAAAGCAAATAAATTAGTTTTCTATTTTAATATAAAGTATATATCTGAAATTTACTTGATAAGTATAATACATGCTTGCATGATCTTTTTCTTTTATTAACTAGCGAATCTATCATGAATTCCTCCTTTTAGATCTGATAAGGAGTTCCCTTTTTTTCCATTTTTTAAAAGAGAACCTAAAGTACGTTAGAATTTATACAATCCAATTATCAAACCTGGCACAAGCATATTCAGTCAGTTAAATTTTAAAAGTAGTAAATCTATTATTAGTAACTGCACAAACAAGAAGGGTCCTCCAAAGAAGAAGAAGATGTGTACTAGTCATATTTCTAATGCAATGGTGATCATAGTTAGGTTCAAAATGAAAAAGAAAAATTGAAACAGCAAGTAGAAAAAGAAAGAGAATAAGTAAGCAGTAGATATACAGAATCTATAAAATACAAAACAAGAATATCTTATTAGGTAGAATAAACCGGAAAAAGAGGATTAAACAACAAAGATAGAAACATTTCAGCTTCCAGGGTGTATGGAGTGAAAGTTTTGAACAGAAAGGATCTAAATTTTGGCCCTTCGCCTGGACCACGCCTACCATTTAGAGCTAAAAATAAAGAAAAAGGCCCAACTACATAAGTTTCCATCATCATTTACTTCATTCCAGCTATTACTCTGATAAAAAGTGATGTTTACTTTTATTAGAGTACCGGCACCCTGAACAAAATTAAAACAATCCAAGAAATAACTGTAGTCCGCACACAATTTTAACTGGAAAGAAAGAGCAGATCATACCTCAAAAGAAAATTAGAAGTGACAAGGTTGAAAAAGAGTAATGGAAAGCAATTTGAACAAAATGTTGTATGAGGTGATTTTTTTTCTGCTCATGATGTTTTTATTTTTTTTTTATTTCCTGCTTCAAAGTGCAAAGCTAAGAAGTACTTTAATTTACTTAAATAAGAACCGTTTATAATTACACAATGCAGTGATACATGTAGCAGAAATTTACAACTTAAATCTATTATTTCAAATTTAGGCATGCTTGATATGGAACTGCATTGTTAGCCAAATTAGGCATAATAATAACATTATTAAGACATAGGCAATAAATAACATGAAGGAAACTTAAAAGCAAAAAAAAAAAGTATTACAAAATTTAAACTTAATAGAACACAATATCATTTCTCCAAAATAAAGAAGGCAACAAACACACATGAACATCATATGCAAGATTCAAATCCATATCAACAAAAACAAGACAAATCTATGCCTCATAACGCATTTGTACTCTCATAATAAAAAAGCTAATATTAAGAGACTGCAATAACTCAATTTTAAAAAGTTAAAATAATGATGACATATGAAAAATAGTGGAGATGAATGATGAAACAATTACAACATCATAGTTGGAACAGGAGAAATTACAGAGAAAACAAAAATCAAACAAATTCACAAAACTAAAAAAAAGAAACCATTCTATTACAACAACATCATCATCATCAAGCCTTTATCCCACTACATGGAGTCGGCTACATGAATCATTTTTCTCCATTGTGTCTGGTTAAGAGTCAAATTTTCATTTAGATATAATAAAAAAAGGTCATAAAATGACATTTAAAAAAAAACATTTTAACCCAACGTGCAATATGCTTTGGGGGCAACAAAACATGCCCTTAACCGCTGTGAAGTAAACTTGGTTTGTTATCATATTTGGGCAAAAAAGTGATTCTCTTGCATTTTGCTATTAAAGTGCGCATTAAAAGTAATTGTCAAGAAGAAAATATGAAAATATATCTGAATAATTCATGTGTACAAGTCTTGTTAGGGGGAACAACGGCAAGAAAAGAGACTAGATTAATTTTGAATGATGATTTTTTTAACAAAGATACCCTAGGTGGTATATGAGATTTTTAAGCAATTAAAAATTAGTAATTTCTAATAAAATATTTCAGCTTTCATACTAGAACCTCTGTTAAACTTTTAATCTGAGAAAAATTTGGCAAAGTAGAGCTCTTTTTGAAGAGTAAAAAAAAAGACCATGACAGGAGCTTTCAAGTATCCCAAAATGAGAATTAATGATGTTTAAAGAAGAATGACCTTAGATTTTTTTTTTTTTTTCATTAAAGAATAGAATCTTATCCCGTATATTTTATTCAGCATAAATGAGCATAAAATCAATTACAAAATTCTAAACTTACAACAGGAGCAAGAGAATTCCTTCATGCTATGCCCATTATGACTTAAACCAAAGACTAATAACATGAAAACTAAGTATTATATTACTAGAGCAAGATCTTCATGTTAGAAGTTGAACACATTGAAAGAGATGTTAGAGTAACCTTGTAGAGTTGCACACCTTTATCAACAATCGGATTACATCCTTCATTTGGCAAACATACTCCTCTGTTAGGCAATCCACATACACTCCAGTTTTAATGTCTTCTCTTATCTGAAATTAGTACAATCCTAAAATTAAAAAAAAATAGAATGCAACAATTTTCACCTCGGAATGATTACCCTTCCAAAAGTAGAACAAACCTGAAGATTCCTTTGTGTTGGGTCCAACAGATCTGTAATTTGCTCATTGTATATCTAGAAAGCATAAGCAATAAATTACATAGAGCTAAAAGCTACATAACAACAACTATAGAATATGTTTCAAATGCAGGGCTGTCCTTCTCACTTCTAAAAAAGAACAATGGCATTGATAAATTAGCTGCTTATCTGACTGCTTAGCTTGTTCCTGGATGAACATAAAAGGAATTCATATAAGTGTTAATAAATAGAAACTCTAAAGAATTAAACAAGAAAAGCATAAGCTACCTCATATATGCGGGAGAAGAGCATTTCAAACACTCGAGGTGTCAATCCCATTTCTTGACTCAACGAGCCATCAGCAGTCATTGCACTTGGAAGCCCCCACATGGTATATGTCTTCCCACTTCCAGTCTTGCCGAGAGAAGATGATATCGAAATGAGCTTTGATCCTTCTTGCAGAAGAATCAAATTAAGAGTATAACTATAGAAAAACATTAAACAATTTTACCTGCCCATATGCAAAAATGGAGCTATTAAACCCGGCCAAGCAATTCTCCACCAATGGAACCCCAACTAGTTGGAAAATGTCTTCCTAATAACAAGAATCTCAATAGGGTGAGGGATTCAAATGAAACGAAACGATAACCAAGCTTTTCTTTAAAATCCTAATTAAAGCATCGATACCACACCTGCGTTGAGCCTGCACCAGCCACTGAATCGAAGGTGAAAGTATGATCAAGAATTGAAATAGAGTTGGGTGAGATCTTCTGAGCAATCAGACTCCCCTCGTCTTCTTCCTCTTTGCTAAGAGGCCTCAATCGCAGTATCACCTGAGATCCAAATCAAATCGCTTCAGAACAGATCCAGAAGAAAAGGAAAACAAGACCAAAAGGAAGTAAGAGAAATATTACCTGGACGCCGGAATCGCAGGGAGACGCAGCTGGAGATCCGTTTTCAGGCAGGGTTTCCAAGCTAAGCTTCCTCTTGAGAGGGACTGAGGGAAGCGGAGGCCGCGGAGGGAGAGGGCTACGAATCTTCATAGAGGGTGACTTACCAGGGATAGGCGGTGAACGAAAAAGAGAGGATTCTGGCGGCATGGAGTTGGGCTCGACGTTCTCCTTCGGAACTCTCGGAGGCCTCTGCTTATGAGATGGTGAGGTTAGGGTTTCGGAGGGGGAAACCCTACCGCTTCTAGGATGGACGAGGGCTTTCATCGGAGCTGAAATATCCAGAAACCCTAGAAATGGAGGAAAGAGAGAAGCAGAGAGCCGAACGAGCCGTTGCGAGACTGAGAGAGGGGGGGCAGTATTTGAAATGGGGAGCGGAGGCGACTTCGATTTTTATTTATTTTATACTGGCTGGTAATATTTTTTATAATTAAAACCCTATATTTTACGCATGTCGGAGAATTTCAACTTCAAATGGTACGTTATAACTTATAGCATGAAAAACAACAGCGGATTGGGCCATCAGCCCATGTGCTATCAATAAAATCATATTTATTTTTTTAATGAACCTAGGCTTATTAGTTTATTGAGATATGTCTCCAAAGTCATAAATTTAAGCCCAAAAACTTTACAATTTATAGAAAAATATTTCATATATATATACACTATAAGTCTATAATTTTAGTTGAGAATAAAATTTTCTCTCTCAATTTTCTTTATTCTTATCCATTATCTCCATATCTTTCATTTTCTCATTATTTAACGCAACACATGCATGGTACCTAGGGCTGCAAGCAAACCAAATGTTCCACGAGCTACTTGTCGCTCGGTTCAATTAAAACTCGTTTGTGATCGTTTAATTACTAAACAAACAAACTTGAACAACATTTTAAATATTTGATTCTTAAATAAACAAGTTTGAACACTAATGTGTTTGATTCATTTATGTTCAGGAATAACATCATTTGAAGCCCATGAACAAGCTCGATATTAAGCTCGATAAAAAAACTCGATAAAAGCTCAATAAAAATATATTCATATAGATTAATCATATTTTCATTTTAAATAGACATCTGCTTTTATTATAAATGAATTTCATTTTATTTTATGCCTTCAATAGAATGAATTTGTTCATGAACCAGTGATATTTTATGTTTATTCATATTTGTTAGATTGTTTGTTTAAGATGTTCGTGAACAAATTTAAGATTTGTTTGTTCGATAGATTGTTTGCTAAATATGTTCACAAACATAGCTCGTTAAGGCTTGTTTGTTTAAAGCTCGATAAGCACTAAACGAATCGAATATGAATCAAACATGAACACCGATATATTAAACGAACCAAACATGAACACAAACAATAAAACTTGAGTCAAACATGAATTGAACTTGAACAAGGAAATAATAAACGAACTCAAACATAAACACTCAAATACTCAACTTTGCTCGATTCATTTGCAGCCCTAATGGTACCTCCCAACTGCACCACCTTTATTGATTTTCTTGCTTATCACACAGTGTCACGTCAAGTCAATTAAGAAGGAACGAGCTCATCATTGACATTAGTTATTGATCCCAGCTATCCCCAACCTATATAAAGCTCGCCACACACTTTTTTTTTTTCTTTTTTTTTTTTAATAAGCTTGTCACACTCATTTCTTATCTCCAAGTCATAGATCTTGTAGGCGCACTACTCATTATATCATGTTATCTTCAAGCCGTCAACCCAACCATCACCAACCTTGATAGTAAACTTCAACAGTATATCATATGATATTATAATATCATACATCTTATATCAATTAGTATATCATTTTACTAGTATCAATATTACATTCCAGTACATATCACTCATATCAATACATTCCATTTTATGTACATTTTTTCCTACTCATTTGGAAAGAAATTTATATACACAGATTTCACAAGTAAAACTATAATAAATTTATATCAAATCATTCTGAATGATTAAATCTATAATATATCAAAAGTTACATGATGAAAACTTACGAATTAAGAAGATAATGTATTTTTAGTAGATTTATGAGATATAAAATTCGTAGAATCTAAACCATCAAAAATAAGAGTAAGAGATTAGTCACGTATAATTACAACAAATATAATAAAATCTATAACATGAACTACGGAGAAGAGCGACCCAAAGATATTTCTCTCTCATCTCACTCTCCCCCCCCCCCTCCTCTTCCCCTTTCTCTTATTCTCTTCCTTTGATTTCTTATTGGCCACCTTTGATTTCTTATTGGCCAAGCAACCAAGTGAGGGAGGTGGTGGGATGAGGCAAAGATATTTATAATAAAAAATAGAAAAATATATTGTTAGTGGCCTGTCACTATAGTGCTCACCAAATCAGCACCACATCGCTCTATTTTTGAATTTTTTATATTTGTTAAAATAAATATATTTCACATGTGTAAGTTATTACAACACTTATTATTAAGGTGATAGCACGCTCCTTAAAATATTAACATGTTTCTCAAGGTGGTGGCACACTTTATGAGATTGTTGCACAGTTCCCCCATTGGATGGGTTGCTTTCTCGATGTGTTAGTATGATTCACGAGTCAATTTTTATTTTTTTATATTTTAGTGTCATTTTAATTATTCCCTTATTTAACTGATGTTAAGATGGAGTTTTACAGCCTCCCAGCATCTCCCCCTTTTAAGAGCATCTATGAATAGTATTAGATCTTCTTAGCATTCTTAAAAAGATGTGTAATGTGTGTCATGAGACAATGGGATCATAATATACTATCCCAAAAATCCTAAGAAAGGCTTACGTGGATCTTCTTATATTTGTTTAAAATGCAATGATTCCCCACCATGTCAAGTCAGACATACATGCACATGTATTTAAATTTACCCCATCGTGCTAAGAAAAATATACACAAGGCATACTCGACCTAACATGAACTTTGTCTACAAGTTTCTCCCACTATGCAAAGAAAGCGTGCAAAAGTTTTTCTTAATGCACTGAAAGCATCATAATTGATCAATTAGAAGGTGCAGTTATATTTTGAAATATTGAACTGGGGTCTGGGTATCAACAACTGAGAGAAAAGATTGAAGATGTGGTGAATACAATCTTTAGTATCAATAATGGGTAGTACATGTCTCTGATGATGCTATTCAGAGTAATGAATGCAACAATAATATTTATGGATTTGATGAACGGTGTGCTCAAGGAGTATCTAGATCAGTTCATTAATATAATCATTGATGATATTCTAGTGTATTTGAGAACTAAGAATGATCATGCAAAGCATCTTAGATTAACTATGGAGATCCTAAAGCAGTAGAAATTATATGTTAAATATTTTAAGTGTGAGTTTTGGCTAATGTCTATAACATTATTGAGGCAAGTGGTAAGCAAAGAAGGAATATTTGTGGATCCCCAAAAGCTTCAAGCTGTGATTGAATGGCAAAGGCCAACTTTAGTGTCTGAGGTTCATAAATTTCTAAGCATGGTGGGTTATAAGAAGTTTAATAGAGGTTTGTTATCTCATTTTTATATGAGGTCATTAGGCAATATCCTAGACTCCTTATTATTATACATCTAATAGTTCCAATCATCTCTAGCAGTCAATCATCCCAATTTATAGCTATACTTCAATCATTCAATTTATAGCATGCATACATTAAACATTTCAATTAGATAATCAAACATCAATCAACCTATAATCTACATTCAATCAAAATAAGCCTGAATACATACATCAACCTTTAATCACTTGGACAACTATAGCTTTGCATTATAGCCAGATGATTCAATACAATGCTTAGCATAGTGCACTAGTTTCTTGACCTCAGTCATAATTCAAACCACTTCACTAGGATTCACATAGATTAAATCCAACATCACCGTCCTCTGAGCCAATGATTGATCAAGATGATCAATTGAGCTAGCTCAGTCAATCATTAACAACAACCACATCTCCAACTCAACACTTTCTACATGCAATCAGACTTCAAATGACATTTGATCTTCATTTAACTTCCTTGAATATCTCTCCTAGTGAAATTGAATTCATGCTTGATCAAACCAAGTCAACAGAGGGTCAAATCATTGCATACAATCAAATCAACTTATTTAAAACTCCTAAACCTCCCAATACCACTCCAATGCATTATTAAGTGCATTCAAATTCATCGTAAGTTAACCACCATGGGTTTAGACTTGGTCAAACTTCCATTCATGGTCAAATTCAACATTACATGTATTCCCACATCCAAATTCCAATCTTATTGCTTTAAGAGTTTTCCAATCCACCTCACCGGCAAACTTTATCTTGGCTTTCATTCCACATTAGCTATGTTGACTCTTTGACTAGTCAAATAGTCAACTAATGTATAAAAGAGCCTTATAGGGTAAATTTAGCTAATATAAAATTAATTATCTCCACATAAGCCTATTTAACTTATTCAAAGACCTTCAATAGCCTTCCTAAACACCTCCTAAATAGCCCTTAAGCTTTGGATTAACTCAAAACAAGCTAATTATCTCATGTGCTCACATAAAGACAAACCTACATTTCCACTTAATGGTCCTTGCATTTGTCCTTTCCTTGCCCTCATAACCATCTGGGGACAGGTGTCTTGCATCTTAGTATACTTCCAAAGTTATCCCATCCCTTCAAATAAACCCTAGGGTTTGAATTGGGCAAGAGGGCCCAAAACCTTCATTCCAAACCATTAGCATTCTCTCACTACGAAGAGTCTCTCAAGCATGGTTCTAATTTTGTTCAAGCTCTCTACACTTCCATACACCCTTTCAAAGTTAAAATATGGTAGTCGCACGTTGCCAATTATGAAATATCCAGCGTCCCAAGCACCTAATATGTCTAAGGCCTAAAGCTCATGATCCAGAAAATGTAAACTCTTTGCATCTTCTGTGGGATTATTCTATACATCTCAACAAAGAACTCAAGCCTTTGAACACCAAAAATGATCCAGCCAATCTAGGTATATCCTAAACCCTAGTTTAAGCACTCTATATCCAATCATCTTTTTGAATAGCACGTTTCAAGCTACGAAAATACTTTTCCATTACTAATCCATGTCTCATACAACTCTATTTACATTTTCATGCATTTTTATTTTACCATTTGTAAAAATAAGGCATTCTTCATCTTAGGGTTTTGGATTTATGTTAAAACTAAGTGTATAAAATATAGACTGTTGATCTTAAGTTTAACTGTCTGGATCTCATCCTTCCTGTGTGCATCTGAATCATATTTATCAACTAGTCGGTATGGTTCATATCATGTTGAATCACAAATGTTCATTCAAAACATCAGAAGATTTAACAGTCTTGCGGCGATGCTGATGCTGATTAA